TGTGTGTGTGTGTGTGTGTGTGTGTGTGTGTGTGTGTGTGTGGGGTGTGGTGTGTGTGTGTGTGTGTGTGTGTGTGTGTGTGTGTGTGTGTGTGTGTGCGTGCGTGCGTGTGTGCATATGTGCGTGCGTGCGTGTGTGTGTGCGTGCGTGCGTGCGTGCGTGCGTGTGTGTGTGCGTGTGTGTGTGCATATGTGCGTGCATGCGTGTGTGTGTGTGTGTGTGTGTGTGTGTGCGTGCGTGCGTGCGTGCGTGCGTGTGTGCGTGTGTGTGTGCATATGTGCGTGCGTGCATGTGTGTGATGCGACATGCGTACAATTCGTCTAGTGTTTCAGCATATTGTCATTATGCTTTGGTAACCCAATTTTTTACTTCCTGAACAGTTTTGATCAAATGACGTTTAAATTACTGAGACTAAAAAAATTTAAAGCTAATTTTACTTGTACATTTTATTTGGAATAAATTGGATTTAAACGTACCATAAGTACTTCAATACCTTGCCAGTGTTTGACCTGTAGATCTACATGTAGAAAATAATCTGGATGTATTTGTCTATTTCTTATAAAAATGTTACACTAGGTGGCAGCACAATATGTCTTGTGTGTAAAATATACGCGTTAGTCTTAGTGCTACTGATAGTTTAAATCACTGATCTGAGTGATCTCTATATATATTAACTAGAGCGCTTAGCCTATCCACGATCGGTAAGAAAGTGGCTCCACCGCGCCAATGCTGTCATCTTTCCACCACTCCCTAAAGCTGATATCTGCCAGTGTGTGCGCCATATTAAACATTTTATTGGATAATGATGAAATTCAGCTTATTTTTCTCATTTTTAGTTGCATGAAAACAAATTTTGATAAACACGTCAGAATTTATGTATTTTTATAGCTAGATAGATAAGATAGATATATACAGCTAGAGAAAGATGGAGATAAAAGATATAATAGTCTATACATAATTAAAGCTTTTATATAGTCTAGATGTGACATCACAGGTCACGTGAAAATTTATCTGAGGTTATTGGCCTGATGATAGTTCGAGGAGTGGTGTCATGGCGTCTGGTGACTTAATTCACATATTCATTATTGACCACTAAGAGCTATCCAGTTAGTATATAGAGATCAGCGGTTTAATTGCCTGTTATAGTGGCCCAGCTGGTCGAGAAGGGGAGCAGACGACTGAGAGAGGAGAACGAAGCATTAAAAAGGGAGGTGCAGGATCTGAAACGCTCGTTATACAAGTGGCAAGTGCGCAATGGAGGTGAGTTGATGAAATACTGTCATATTAGATGTAGGACTATGAATGTCTATACCATCCATCCAAACCACGTACACTAACGTTCTCATATCTATTCTGTATTTTGTTTTTCTTACCTGTCACCCTATATGGAGAATCTGTGAACAAGTTATTAGTTGCCCTACAAAACGCGCGCGTGCGTGCGTGTGTGCATGTGTGTGTATCCGTGCGTGTGTGCGTGTGTGCGTGTGTGCGTGCGTGCGTGTGTGCATGTGTGTATCCATGCGTGTATGCGTGTGTGCTTGTGTGCGTGCGTGCGTGCCCATGTCCGGGTGCATGCGGTGGCGTTGCACGTGTGTGCCACACGCCTCGTCGGTAAACCCGTTCTTCGCGCCGCAGCTACTCTCGTGCCCCTGCCCTCGGAGGCAGAGCTGAAGTCGTCCGGCTCACCCGGCGCGACGCCCGCCGTCGTTGAGCAGACAACAGCAGACAAGAGGATAACGGCACCAGCACCCGAAGCTACGCAGAAGTCACCGGGCGACAAGGCGAAGACAGGCGGTGTGGGCAAGAAGGAGAAGAACAAGGGCGGAAAGAAAGGTGAGCGCAGGGATAGAAATGAACTTTTGAACGAGCGGGTCCAACGGACTCCCTACCATCAAAAAGAGAGAGTCCGCAGCAAAATGAGGGAGTCCGAAGTATACAAGTAGTACCGCAGATATTAACGAAAAGGTCATTTGCGGTGCACGTCTGCCAAATTTTCCTGGGTCATTCGCTAAAAAAAAAGGTAATTCTGCGAGGCCGTGCTCTGGAACGAACTAGTTAGTATAGCAGAATTTTCAGGGAGTCACGCGGACTCCTGCATATGTCAAATCAAGGAGTCCGACAGTAAATCAGGGAGTATTTGACTCCGGACCCTGTGAGCGCGCGGCATGCTACGCTCGCTTGTGGCAATTTCTCTCCGTCGGCCAGTGTCTGTTCGTCCGCTTGCTGATTCACATCGTGTGCAGTACGTTGTCCGTCAGTTACATGGGAATGTAAACTGAGCACCAATTCCCTGACCCCTACCCTTAACCTTCACCCTAACCCTAACTGTAACTCTGCAAATTTCAGAAATATTACTACAGCTACAGTACTATAGTTGACTAATGTTCATAAGGTCTATGTCCCCCAGGGTACTGCAGGAACGTACCCTGGGTACCGGACCGTACCCTGGTAACTATCTAGCTGATATGGTTAGGGTTAGAGTTAGGGTTATGGTTAGGGATTAGGCGTAGGCGACTCCCTAGACTCGTTAGTGGAGTAGGCGAGGTACGGTCCGGCATATTAGATAGTAGTATTTAGTACCAGGGTACGTTCCGGCAGTACCCTGGGGGACATAGACCCTCTCAGCTTGACTAATGGTGTTGGTAATCTAGCCCGTGTGTAAGCACAACCTATACAATATTAGCAGATTTGGGTCCAAACTGACCTATCTGTCTAAGTGAGGTAACCTTGTCCTCTTCTCTTTTTCTCCCTTTCAATACTATTGCTGGATTTGTCAAGCTAGTGTTTTTTAACACACACACACACACACACACACAAGCCAATTTCTTAACTTAGCGGCGCTTGACTACAAAGCAGTGCACCTTTTTTATGCCCCTTATCGCAAACATTGCTCAGATAGAGCCACCTGTTAACCACCCCAAGCGGATCAGTCACTCGTTGTACGTCGTCGTGTCCTCAATCGTCCCGACGTTCTGCGTCTGTTCTGCGGGTGACTGTAGGTAACGCCATAGACTAAGAATAACAAGACACGACACGCGTAATATCGTCACAGTACTTAAATCTCTTACGGGTATGCAGTACTGCCATCTGGTGTTACTGGTCTCCAATCATCGCGATGTGCTGCGACCTGTTTCGCGGGCGACTGTAGTAGGTAACGCTTTGCATTTCTTCTCCCCTCGCCGACGCGGCGTCTACAGAGAAGGAGCCTCGCAAGCAGCAGCAGCAGGAGGAGGAGGTGGCGGCGGTGGACGTGTCGCGGCTGGACTTCCGCATCGGCCGCATGGTCAGCGTGAAGAAGCACCCGGACGCCGACACGCTCTACATCGAGGAGGTGGACCTCGGCGAGGGCAAGCACCGGACGGTGGTCAGCGGCCTGGTCAAGCACTGCACAATAGAGGAGGTGGGTGGTGGGAGGCTGGTAGAGGAGGTGGGTGGTGGAAGGAGGGTAGAGAGGAGGTGGGTGGCGGGAGGGGGGTAGAGAAGAGGTGGGAGGGTGGAGGCGGGTAGAGGAGGTGGGTGGTGCGGGTGGGCGGAGGGAGGCACGATAGAGGAGGTGGGTAGAGGAGGTGGGTGGCGGGAGGCGAGTAGATGAGCTGGCTGGCGGGAGACTGATAGAAATTTCTGTCGTTCCTGAAATTCCTGGGGAGAACACTGAGAAATCACAGCAACATGCTTCCCGAGGCCCCGTGCACCTTGCGGATCTCAGAGTATACACCCTGCGAATCCAGAAAGGGGAAAATCGTCATCATCGGTCGTATTTTCGTCTCTGCATCCGGAGTTCGCGTCCAAACAGCAGCGCCCACTGTACCGCCCCGACCGTCACGCTTCCTCCCTTTATCTCACAGATGACCGACAGGCTGTGCGTGTTCATGTGCAATCTAAAGCCGGCGAAGATGCGGGGAATCCTGTCCGAGGCGATGGTGATGTGTGCGAGCTCGGCCGAGCACTGCGAGATACTGGTACCGCCACCTGGCAGCGAAATCGGCGACGCAATCGTCTTCGACGGCTACTCCGGTGAGTCGACGATGTCGCGGCGTGGCGAGAAAAAACCGCCTATGGTTAAAATTCACGGGTGCTTTTCGAAATTGACGTTGCGAGAAAAAATTCCTTAATTACATTTCAGGGGTGTTATCCGAACTTGACGTCACGCGAAAAAATGCCTCGATTACAATTCGCGGGCGTTTTCCGAAATGGACGTCTCGAAAAAACCCTCCGGTTACAATTCGCGGGAGTTTTCTGAAGTTTGACATGAGGCGCAATGCAACGTTCTCTGCTGTCACAACCTTCTCAACTCTTTACCTAGACGTTGTTACGACCAGGGGTCGCTCGTGGCGAGACGCGACTGTCTGACCGCACGCTGTTTCGCTGACCGACCTTGACCCATGCAGGTACACCGGACGCGATGCTAAACCCGAAGAAGAAGGTGTGGGAGCAGGTTGCGCCCGATCTGCAGGTATCCAACGACCGCGTCGCCAACTACAAGGGATCGCCGTTCAGCATTGCCGGCAAGGGCTTTGTGATGTCACCGTCTCTCACCAATGTGCAGGTAAAATGAACTGGAGGGAGTGACGGCCTGTACTGGCTCCACGAGGCATCAACGTTCAGTGGTGCAGGTGTACGGAGCTGAGAAGAGAGCACGCACGAGCGACGTGAGAGGGAGCTTGGGGCACGTGGTCAAAGATGCAAGTAGTTTTGACGTCGTAATTCTACAATCTCGTGACTTTTGAAGCGTGAGTGTCGTGCTAACGTTATGACGTTGTTAGTATGAACTATGATAGTCATGATTGTTGTGATGTTTCTGCCAATGGGCCTCCTGGACCGACTCTACGGGTCTCTGCTATACCCAGGTCTCCAGTGTGCAGGTCGGATGTGCTGCAATTATAGATGGTTGTGGATGTGGTCTGGTTTGTCAAAGTATTGCAATAAAGGCGAGTCATTGAGCAGATGGTTTGTGGACATTTATCTTCAGCTTTTGTGTTCTGAGAGTTTCATGTGGTGGTTAATAGGCACACGTCTACATTTAACTGCTATTTTCTGAAGATTGCTCCAGTAATTATAATTTTGTTTGAAATGCTTGTCATCGGAAATTGACGAGCATGTGTAGAGTTGTATGTTAAACATTTTACTGGTATTGCTATACAGTGATTAATTTAGCATCAAGAGCTGACCCATAATATTACTATGCTACTGTTAGCATTACATAATGTTACTTTATGTACTGCCAAATTTGATGTAAATTTTCAAATAAAAAAATGAATTTATATACAAAGATAATACAAACATATATACAAACGTCCCAGCTCATGGTCAATCAACGAATTTTTGGTCGATCGTACGAGATTCAAGTTTAACATAGTTCAAGTTTAGTGGTTCTGCCGAGGTAATTGCATATTTCATACTTTCATCTTATCCAAGAGAAGAAAAAACGTCAATCTTGTGACATTGTAGCTGAACATGCCAGCAGATGTCGCCACCTGTTCGTTGACTACTGTGTAGCCTGCATGAAGATTGAATGGAAATTACTACTGGTGATATGTAAGGCCGGGCTTATGTCGGCCTTGCGACGCGACGCGATTGCCGTGCGACTGATTTTCTGCAACTGGTTGCAAGTCGCAGCAACGATTGCGTCGCAGAGAAAGTTCCACCTAAGCACCCCTGCGACTGCCAGTGACGGGTCTGCGACTGGAAAATTGTCAGTAGCAGCGAGTCGCACATGTTCTGCTCTTGCGATGCGACACGACGCGACTGGTTCCACGGGTCGCAAGCATTGGTTTTCATGGTTACTACCCGACATAAGCTGCCTTGCGATCGCTGCGAAAAGATTTGTATGCATAATGAACAATGCACGCGAATGAAACAATCAGTGCATACTATGTAGTACAACTTCATGATAATGTATATACCTGTATTCAAAACTTGTTTTTCATTACATTTATTGCCGTTTGGCGGCGCTAGTGTGTAATTTTTGTCATCTAATTAATATACTAGAATATTATAGTAACCAATTTAGAATGCAATGCGTATGATGTCTGCATTATTATCATGGTTTTTCCTGTTCCGCAATATTATTCTGTATCATTTCCGCTTTCATATCTGGCTGCTTTTTCTTAACTGCGCTGCGTATATATCCTATATGCAGTGTAACTTTATATATATTTCTAACTTTTTTCAATAAGATTATCGACAAACGGGGGCGCTCATTTCAGGCAATTTGACATATTGTCTTCAATCTATATCTTCATGCTAGTTTTCATTCATTCGTCGATATTACCTGTTTGTATCAATATTGCACCTAATAACACTAAAATGTCATTTTAATTATTGCGATATGTAATACTTATGATATCCGTATTCTCATCTTTCCTGTTGTTGTTGTACATTATATTATTATATCTCATACTTTTGCAGTAATATCCCCGGGGGGGGCACTCGCCTCGGAATTGAGTAGGGGGGGGGGGCTCGGGGAGCTTGAAAACCTGACCCTGTCGCAAACCGCTTTGCGCCCTAAAATACACCGTGTCCCAATATACTAAAAAGTGTAACCTTGTTGCAATATTGGCTTTCCTATATTGGTCCAATATCGGCTTGGAGACATTGGCTCAATATCGTTTTGCCAATACCGGTATTGGGCCGATATTGGACCAATATCAGCTTGCTTGATGGGTATCTAGATAACATGTGCCAATAATGATGTTCGGAAAATGTACCCTGTCCAGCGGCACGTCCTCAGTATCTTTAATAATGGGAATGCCCCCAGGGTAATATCTAGCTGGTTTAATCCTAACTGCGTCTATATGTATATATATTATATATTTAGTGAAATGAAGTCCGTCATGTGCGTGCTGTACTTTATAGCGGCGGTAAACTCTCGGTTATGCAATCGTGCAATACTACGCATTACTCGTAGCATGATGTGTGCCGTTGATATATATATATATATATGTGTGTGTGTGTGTGTTGTGTGTGTGTGTATCGTGTGTGTGTGTGTGTGTGTGTGTGGTGGTGTGTGTGTGTGTGTGTGTGTGTGTGTGTGTGTGTGTGTGTGTGTGTGGTGTGTGTGTGGTGTGTGTGTGTGTGTTGTGTGGTGTGTGTGTGTGTGTGTTTGGTGTTTGGTGACTGTGGTGTGTGTGTGTGTGTGTGTGTGTGTGTGTGTGTGTGTGTGTGTGGTTGGTGTGTGACGTGTGTGTGTGTGTGTGTGTGTGTGTCGTGTGTGTGTGTGTGTGTGTGTGTGTGTGTGTGTGTGTGCGTGCGTGTGCGTGCGGTGCGTGCGTGCGTGCGTGTGTGTGCCGGGTACCAGGCTAGTTTCGAATAATTCCTCAGTTTCACAAGCCCGCATGCCCTCAAAGTTGCGCATGCCCGTTCTCGCCGAAAGTATAGAGCATGAGGCGAAAGTATACATTCAAACCATTTTAGGGCTATCCGACTATAGGAAAACATGGTAAACTTTGTCGACCGCCTGCGTGTTTGCGAAATGCAGAGTGCTATCTTTTTCGTGCGGCAGACGGCGATCGATATACACATAATATATACATAATATCCTATGCTGGACATTTTACCGCTCGCACCTCTTTCCGACGCTAGACGCTAGACCTCTTCGCGGGCTGAGACGCTAGCGAAATTTTTTATCGCATGCACCTAGTACTTGCGACATGCTCTCTATGAAAATTGCAGAAATTTAGCGAAATACTGCTTCCGTCGGCAACTCTTTTGGTTATATACAAATTTCGAATAATTTCTCAGATTTCACACCAGAAATATCGGATAATACCTTATTACATAATCCTCGGGGCAGGGCCGGATTTAGACATGTGGAGGCCCCTGGGCTGCCTTCAGTAGTGGATGCCCCCCTCCCTTAGAATACTAAAAACTAAAAGGTGACACGACATAGTTACAGTCATCGATGAAGCAAATTTTGTCAAGTAGAAAGAATCTGAATAAGCAAGCAAGAAAATCGACGTTGAGATGGATGACCTTAGATTTTAGATGTTTGTCTGCCGACGTGTGCTGCTCAATGACAGGGAAAAACCTTAGTTAGCTGTTTTCACCACTCACAAACAAATACAATATGGCTTGCGTAGGCCTATGTATGACGTAAAACGCGCACACTATGGGTTGTATTGATACGTGCGTGTCGTTCAGGTCAACCCACTTTTTTCCTTACAAATTTTTCAATGAAATATGTGGAGGCTCCTGGTTGTGGAGGCCCCAGGGCAACTGCCCGGCTTGCCCAGTCCTAAATCTGGCCCTGGGCCTGGCCCTAGTCAGTAAGGTGCAAAACTACTACTTCATCCCCGCCCGCCCTTCCCCTTGTCTCCCTTGTGAGGAGTTATATTTTGTGCTGAAAATGCATTTAATATGGTCAGTGGGTATCTCAGCATAGGTTTCTGTAATAAATTATTATCAGTAGACCTGTGTGTATAATTCGGAGAGCGCCCTAGCCAGTAGGGTGCAAAACTACTACTTGATCCCCGCCCGCCCTTCTCCTTGTCTCTCCCTTGTCGCACGCTCAGCCTCCTTCTTCTTCCGCCGCCCCTCGGCTGTCTTCCCTGTCACCTTCCCTCAGTCTCTCACCCCTCTCTTCCGCAGCAAGCTATATTACGTACTTTTATTTAAGCCGTATTGCACGTCTGAAACGGTGCTCGCGCATGCGCAATATCTCCCAGGAAGAAAAATATTTTGCCAAAAATTATGAATTTAAAATGAAGAAGGGTTGTCCCAGCATAGATTTCTATAATAATATTACATCAGTAGACCTTACTTATGAAATAGGAAGCAGACCTTGCATGTAAGGTCTCCTCTGCATAAACCAGTCAGTACACAATCTGGCTACGTTACTGTTTTAGCGCATGCGCAATATCTCACGAGAAGAGTTATATTTTGTGCTGAAAATGCATTTAATATGGTCAGGAGGTATCTCAGCATAGGTTTCTGTAATAAATTCTTATCAGTAGACCTGTGTTTATAATGAGGAGAGCGCCCGAGCCAGTAGGGTGCAAAACTACTACTTCATCCCCACCCGCCCTTCCCCTTGTCTCCTTTGTCGCACGCTCAGCCTCCTTCTTCTTCCACCGCTTCTCGGCTGTCTTTATACTGCTACCTTCCCGCAGTCTCCCACCCCTCTCTCCCGCAGCAAGCTATATGCCTATTAAGTAAATAATATACTATTCATATTACAAATGTATTACAGAATTTTGTAACTGTCAACATTTCTACGTAATTCACCGTAAACCGCACCACGCGTTTACAATATCAGTGATATATAGTATATGCGCCGCTATCGCTAGCACACTTTTTGCCGGCCAGCAGGTTTACAATCACGTATATACTTCCGAGTATAGCTCTCAACATACCTTTTTAACATACGCCACTCTGCGTTGATACCATGTTTATTCAGTTTAAACTGTTTTACACATACATTGCGTTCATCGAATTCATTTATTGGGCTCTGTTGCGGAAATGTGTGGGAAATACCCTGCGCTGCCACCCTCTTATCGCAACAAGCTGGTATGCTGTTGCAATAATTGCGCGCATTGAAAGCCAAATTTTAAGTTGTATACGCGGCGCAATAGCTATCCGCCGAAACCAGGTAGATTTGTTACACAATAGACATGCGTGTAATGTACAGCATACACACGTGCTCAGCCTTAAGATCTCGGGTGTTGAGAGTTTCACGCCGTCATCTCGTATACTTGTTTTATTGTTACCTGACAATGTCCCCCCCTTGAAATTTTGCTAGAAATTTCAAATTTTTTAAACGAATATAGACTCACGGTTTTAGGTTTTAAAGTGTAGGGTTTGGGGTCGAAATTATGGTTTAGGAACACGGTTAAGGTTACAATCAATATAGGTAATTTGGATTTACATTTTTACGCTGGACACCCTTGACACCTACGGGCGAATCGGACGATTGCAGGGGTGGGATGTTCATAATCCCGTAGGCCAACGTAAGGCGCCACAA